CCTTACTAACATACAGTTTCACTCCCCTGTCCACTGGATCTAAATTTAAGACAAGGTTAGAATCTACTAACAGGTTTTTTTGAGCTTTGGATTGTTGTAACGGGACAGAAAATACTGCATAAAAGCCTCATTACATCAAATAGCTGGCATATAACTCATCTGCTCTTCTCAAGTTTCCAGTATTTCATTCTTTCCTGCTACCTTCCTCAAGTTCACTTCTAAACATATTCTGATAGAGACTTTCAGTCTGGGGGAAAAAATCCTTCAAACTGCCTTGGAGACTTTTCATAGCAAACAAGTAGGTTCTTCCAAACTTTCTCTATCTTAGACACTGGACCCAACTCCCGATTCTACCCTCAAGAAACCAGGTTAAGAAAGCATCACAGTGTCACAAGGAATACCAATTCTTACATAGGATTCATCTCTAAAGCAACACAAACAATTCAGTAGCCTGGGTAAAGAGACTTACAACTAAAGATTAATTCACAAAACAGAAATGGCAGACAAATCTGATTTGGAACGTGGAAGCAGCCAGATAAAGAAAAGTATCCTAAAGGAATAAATACCCTTTAGGAATGTGATTTGGAATCATTCAGATTGGGATTTCAAAACATTTTAACTATTTCCAAGTTCTTCCATGGCTGAATTAAATATAGTACATACCAAAAGTTCATAACCTGCAGAAGTTCCCAGTGCAGACAGTTGTCATAGTTTCACAGTAATTGCACCTGTATTCCCCCTCCCTGGTCACTCAAGGGCACGCATTTAAAGTTTCCGGCTCCCAGCCATCACTTCTCTTGGGTGGAGACCTGTATCTCTCCCTCAAGACCAGAATTTTAAGGCTGCATGACTCCGTGCCTTACACTGTGATATCCCCAGCAAGCCAGTCACCTAATGGCCAGCGCCTGTGCTTTGCTTTCTCTCTGAGGGCTATAAACAGCGTATTTCCAGCAGTTACAAGTTACCACACAGTTCTTTCTAAGCAAGCACCTTTATTCTTAAGGCAAAAGCATTACAGAGAAAACATTAAAATCAATAAGAGTGCCTATATGCACACTAAAAGCTTACCAGAAGTTATCCATCAGTCTTATGGGGCTCTGATAGGCTAAAGTCTTTTCAACTCTTCCGCAAAAGTTGAGGCTCTAGGACAGAAGATCCTATCCATTTGTTGGATCAGAAAGGCAGCCTTGAGTCAGTTTACACGTAGCCTTTTAAAGCCAAATATTTTTTGTTTTCCTTGTGTGTGGAAACTCACTTTGAACCAGTATATATGTACCTTTGCAGGGGATGGTACCTCTTTGGAGGTGTTTAAGGTGAATACATCATATTGTAATCAAAGTTTTAGTTCCTGGAGGAGTGTGGAACCCTCTCCCATGGAGTAGAGCACAGTCGCACATATGCTTGGCCCACAATAACATATAAACTTATTACGATATGTTCCCCTAAAGATAGTGTGTGCCGTTGCAATATCTGTTTACTTTGCTAGCTCTTTCATGGTTAAATAAAGCATGGTACATACTAAATAAAAGTTCTTTACCTGTAAAAGTTCCTACTGCAGGTAGTTACCTAAAACTGAGGAATAAGACCCAGCTTTTTCTTAAGATAATGGCAATTCCTTCTCTAACTTCAACAGGAACAGAAGCTAATGGAACAAGGCTTTTTAAAGACTGCTTAACAGGCAGGAAGAGGTAATAAAATTAATTTCTTTTTAATCTAAGTTATACTGCAGCTTTAAAATACAAACCTGCATTTGCTGTAGTTAACATTTTAAAGTACCTGAACTATCATCACTGGTCTAATCTAGCTAAATTGATCAGGAGAAAAAGTTTAAGTCAGGCTTACATAACACAAGCCAAACTACACACAAACAAAACCAAGCCTCGCTTCCAGGTGTAAATTCAGAGTGACACTGTTCACTAGCAGAAGCTAGACTACAGCTCAACCTGCTAAAACTGAGTTAAGGGTGTTTTCCTGCTATAGATGCAAGCTAAGTAGCCAAGTTTAATCAGTCTTAGCTAGCTAGTGTTGGCTAAATGTTCTCTAGTCTAGAGACAACTTTAGAAGCATGCTGTATGTGAAGTTTACAGTAGTTTATATTTATTCATTTTAAGGCAGTGTTTTACACTTCTAATTTTTTCTATCATTGAGCTCTCCTTCTTTCACCTATCTTATATACCATATCAAGAAACAGTAGCAAATTTTATAACAAACGGCATTTCTCTTTATGAAAATTATGTTAATCATTCTGACAGCTGTAACTGTCAGCAGACAATCTTCCCTATGCTGATGCCAATTTTCTACATAAAGAGAACCAAAGCCATAGGCCCCAATCTACAGAATCACAGGCCATAATGATTTCAAGCTCATCAATATTTCTAGATACATTCATAATGAATACAATATTCCAAATGTATGGCAGATCAACTTCCCTAGTCTCTCATCTATAATATTTTCTTTCATTTGGATACATTTAATATATTTCAGCTGTTACTTTAAGGCTTTTTAAACTGAAGTTAGTAATTATGGTATTAAAAGTATCTGTTCTGAAGGTCAGTGATAAGATTGGATTGCTTTGCTTTGCCCAACACAAATTCTATTCTAAACTTCTAGTATATTTTACTGTATTATTTGAAGTAAGAATAGTATATTTAGAACATTTATAGTATGTCTCAAAACCCAAAACAAACATCCAGCAGGTAAGTACAGTACGATTTTCAACTGCTGCTAGGCCAAAAATACAGAGTTAAATACTGTTTTACTAAAGATATTGGAAAAGCTATTAGAAGAATGCAAATAAGACTTACAAGTTGTAAGTTGGCACTTAAAAATTCATCAGTTCCCTATTTTCATGGCATATTTTCAGCCTCTAGATTTTTCTTTACTTTAAGTGTGATAACAAATGACTAAAAAAGATTGGTAAGAGTCACATGTCCTGTAACCGGGCTGCATTAAGAGCTGCTCTAAATAAAACAGTTGCAGAAGTTTGCAATTATTCAGTACTGAAAACTAAGTCAAAGATGATAGACTCCTAGCAGTTACAAGGGTTGGAAGATGGACAGATTTTAACCATCATCTACACTGACTCCTATGTAGAAAAGGCCACTATGGATTATAAAATGGAAGTATTACAAATATTATTTGTTAACATGAGTAGACAGATAACTGTTCAATAACTTCACTCTAAGTGCTTAAATACCAAATTCATATTTAAATTTAATTCACAATTACTTAAAACATCCCCAAATTATCAAGACTCATCATATGATTAACTTAAATTATGTAAATGTCAATTCAAATGTGTGTATGAAACAAATGCATACAATTAGACAACACAAGTTGGGTCTGTTCAGTTGCTAGTCATTACCAACTGATCCTTACTAGGCTTAACTCTCCTCAGCAATTAGCTAGTGCTTATATTTTACATGAATTATCAAGCAAGAGAAAGAGTGGTTTGGACATTCATTCACCTGGAACTGTGTAAACCCAGGTCCAATTCCTTGCTATGCTACAAACTTCCCATGTGACCTTGGGCAGGTCAGTAAGTTTCTCTGTGCCTCAAATCCTATTTGTAAAGTGGGAATAACAACTCTTCCCTACATCTCAAGGTTGTCAGAGAATATATACATTAAATATTGTAAGGTGCTCACATACTTTAGTAATTGGGAGGGGGGGTTCATATGTACCCAAGATAAATAGATAATATCTCAATAAAACTTTGAGATTGGTTATGCCTATGCTTACATATATTAAAAGTAACATCTGTTCACTTGGTGATGCAAATTATCAGAATGCCTCACTAAACACCAGGAAGTAAGGCACCAAGTAGTATCAAAAAGTCAAAACAGCAATTACATATATTTATGTAGGTACAATTTGCCCATTAATATAGTATACTAGCCATTTAATGCACAAGCTATTAGACCTGCACCACCAAATATCATTCACAGGTTGGGAGCCTTATTTTGCATCAGTACTTCTCTCAGGATAAAAGCTTTTGCTGTTATAATTAGAAATTTTAAGTCTTGGCCTTTAGAGGATTCAGCTCACTGTACTAGACACATATGGAGACACTCCTGGGGTTAGTTCACACTTTATAACACTAGACTCTAATTTTTCACTTTAAGTGTGAAAATTTTTCTCCAAATAAGGTTAACCCTAATAATAATAACCCTAAAACCCCACCCTGTCAGAGATCTGGCAGCCCCATGCTAACACCAAACACGCCTCGGAGAGAGTCCCATAATCTTCAGCCTGTAGCAGCAGGTGAGACAGGCCCAGAGTTACTATGTCATTACCAAACCTGCCCAAACGAGCCAAAAGAAAGGGCTGCACAGGAACATACTTTAGCTACTGGTGATGACTCTCTGAGTTGTTTAACTTAACTCGTTTTTAAATGTAGCTTTATAAATGTATGACTGGGCTTATAAAACAGAGTTGCCCACCACAGCAGGGGATTAGACTCTACAACCCAAGAAGTCACTTCCAGTCTTATATCCTTTAGGTAACCCCCAACACTAGTCCTCCTCTCTCTCTCAGGGTTCTCCCCCTCACACCTCTACCCCCTACCACCCCCCCCCCCCCACACACACACACACGGTCCGACACCATGCAAGCCCCATGGCTCTGTGAGCAGGTACAGTTCCCGGCCA